TATTTGTTACGTGGGCCGATTTTTGTGCGAAATTTTTGAGAGATTTTCCAGTTACTTCAAATGTGGCCGATGTCCATATCGAAATGGCAAACACCAAACGCGGGAATAATGAATCTCCGCAGGACTACTTTTATAAAATGGTTGCTATAGGGTCTAAGGCATATCTTCCCGAATCTGCAATAATACGTCATATCATAAACGGTATAAATGATCCCGATCTTAAGAGAAAAATATCCAACAACTATCAGACGTGCAACGATTTATTGAAGGATATAATTATTTATTGCAATTATAATGAGATTAAACATGCAACCAATGTGCCAAGGAGGATTTTACCTGTGGTGGCTACACCAACCAATAAGAAGAATATCGATGCTAAGGGCGAACAACATGTGAAATGTTTCAACTGTTTTAAATTAGGCCACTACTCCGTAAAGTGCCCTGAACCGCAACGTAAGCCCCGCTGTGACAATTGCAAACGAACGACACATGCAACCGATAAGTGCCCTGAAAAAGCTGGACCGAAGGGAACGGTGAATAAGATTGATGATGTTACACCAGAACTTGTGGGTGGTAAAAGTAACGTGATTATTAAGAGAGTGAAGATCAATGGAAATACGACAAATGCTTTTGTTGATCCTGGTAGTAACCGATCGTTAGTTGGGGAATCTTATGCCGCCATAGTGGGTAATATTGAGGATACCCACATTTTGCTGGAAGGTTTTGCTGGTGGTCAATATGTATGTACCGGACAAATTGAGGCATCCGTTGAAATTGATGGGAATAGTGTTGTGAGTAATCTACTTGTTGTAGACGACAATTTTATGAATGAGAACGTGCTGTTGGGCTGTGACATATTGTGTGGAAAGGGTAAACGGTTGATTATAGAGGACGATGCTTGTCGATTGGAGAAAGTAGATAACGTCAACCACTCTCCTACACTAATACCGACTGAGGTGGAAAAACTCAAACTCGTGCTTTTGAGATATCATGAATGTTTTGCTGGTAATACCTCCGAGATTGGTAGGTGTAACGTGGCCAAGTTGGAAATTAACCTGAAATCTGATTCACCAATTCAAATGAAACCATATCGTGTTCCATTTGCTAAACGTGCCATTTTAACAGGTATAACGAATGACCTTCTACGACACGATATAATACGACCGTCGGAATCAACTTACGCTTCACCTGTTGTTTTAGTGGCCAAAAGTAATGGCGAGCATCGCATGTGTGTCGATTACCGCCAACTCAACTCAATCACGAATAAGATGCCATACCCTATGCCTATCATGGATGAACAATTCGCCCAGCTGGCCGACAACAAATATTTTACAACTTTGGATTTGAGAATGGGGTATCATCAAATTGAAGTTCACGAGGACTCAAAAAAATTCACAGCGTTCGTTACGCACGACGGACATTTTGAGTATAACCGCATGCCGTTCGGGCTCGTCAATGCCCCGGCTGTTTTCCAGTCTATTATGGACAAACTTATTTCGAAGATGGGCAATGGAGAGATATTAGCGTACCTGGACGACGTGGTCATTCCAAGCAAAACCGTAGAAGAGGGTCTTTCTCGCCTTGAACGATTCTTTGAAATTCTAGTGGAAGCTGGTCTTACGCTTCGGTTTGATAAGTGCATTTTTCTGGCGACGAAAATTTCATACCTGGGACACTCAATCGATGAAAATGGTATCCAACCAGGCGACGTTAAAACAAGTGCCATCCGAAATTTTCCCGTACCGAACAATATCACGGAAGTTAGAAGATTCCTGGGCTTAACTGGGTTTTTCAGAAAGTTTGTCCAAGACTACTCGTTAATAACTAAGCCGATCACGAAACTATTACAGAAAACCGAAACTGTTTTCACATGGCATTTGATAAACTCATCGGAATACTTACGAGTCAACCCGTACTAGCGTTATATAATACCAAATCCCAACACGAAGTTCACACCGATGCAAGCAGTTTGGGTCTCGCCGGTATTTTATTGCAGTCCGATGATAATGTCAACTGGAAACCCGTTTTCTATTTTAGCCGACACTGTACCGATGCTGAAAGCCGCTATCATAGTTACGAACTTGAAGTCCTGGCTGTGGTGGAATCACTTGATCGCTTTCGTATTTATCTGCTTGGCAAGCCATTCCGTCTCGTGACTGATTGTTCTGCTGTCGCGAAGGTGAAGAATGACAAAGAACTTAAACCCAAAATAGCTAGGTGGTGGTTAAGACTACAAGAGTACGATTTCACTCTAATACACCGTGAGGGCCGGCGCATGTTACATGTAGACGCCCTAAGCCGAGCTCCCGATATGCCACCAGTGGAAATAGAGCCAGACTATATAATGAAAATTACTGCCGACTTGGATGACTGGATAGTCACTATGCAATTGGGTGATGAAAAACTACGGAAGATTATTTCCGTTTTACGTGGAGATCGGAAAACCGACCAGGATAAACAGATTAAGATGGAATTCTGCATGCGCAACGGTAGACTTTATCACAAAGAAGAAGACGGTCCAAAGTTGGTAGTGCCTAAGAGCATCCGTTGGAGAATCGTAAAGTTTTCGCACGACGATATGGGGCATTTCGGCTTGGAGAAGACAATTCAAAGGATACGACAGAAGTTCTGGTTTCCTAAAATAAGAAAATACACCAAAGACTACATCGCCAGTTGTATAAATTGTTGCTATAATAAGGCTCACGCTGGGAAGTCAGAAGCCCGTTTACACTATGATGAAGTCGAACCAGTTCCCTTCCAGACAATACACGTTGACCATTTGGGTCCATTTACTAAAAGTAAACGGGGCCAATGCTACATAATTGCCATATCTGATGCATTCAGTAAATATCTGGTAGTCAAAGCCGTCCGTAGTACAAAATCGTTACACGTTATCAACACCTTAAATGAAATGACGTCGTATTTTGGCCTTCCAAAACGTATCATTAGCGATCGTGGTACGGCATTTACCTCAAAGGTTTTTGAGGAATTTTGTGCTCACAACTCTATCAAACATGTAAAGACAGCCGTACGAACACCGAGAGCGAATGGACAGGTTGAGCGTGCCAACCAATCAATACTCAACTATATCCGAACAACCGTTGAAAACCCGAAGGACTGGGACTTAACACTACGAGAGCTCCAGTGGACTGTAAATTCGCAAATAAATTTAACAACTGGATTCTCACCTAATGAATTAGTTTTCGACTTCAAGCTGCGGGATGTAGTGCAAAATTATCTGGTCGCAGCCATACATGACGACATTGATGAAGATTCGTTGCCAATAACCGAGAAGCGAAACATTGCAGCTAAGAATATTCAACAAGAGCGCGAAAAGTGGGAGAAGCGTTTTAATGCGAAACACGCCGCCCCGAAGCAGTATGCCGAAAACGACATCATTGTATTGGAAAACGAAGCACCCGCCACAGGAGACTCACGTAAACTTGAGCCGAAATTTCGAGGCCCATATATTGTGGCTAAAGTCCTTGGAAATGACCGGTATCTAATAGAGGACGTGCCGGGAATTCAGGTCACCAACCGAAAGTTTTCTTCTGTGTATTCAGCAGATAAGATGAAACCATGGTGTAATAGCTGTCCCACCTTGGATGAACCTTCCGAAGATGACGACAACGAAATCGAGGACGATTTGGTAGCAGGATAGGCCGAGCTGTCACCCTGTGTTGAGAATACGACTCTGTATTTAATATATTTTGTTTCTGAGTTAGTCAGGAAATTAATATAGAACTGAATTCGCAAGAGAATAGACGCGTGCGCGACCGTATTTGTTTTATTAATATTCGTATTGTTTATTTTAAATTAATAAATATATTTTCTTTGAGTTAAATAAATCCTCGTATTATTTTTTTTATTGTTTACAAAAGCCGTCTTGACACACGTAAGGTTCTTACGAGCCAAAACCTCCGTACCAATTTTTTTGGATCGGCCCATAAATGACCCTTCCCCCATATAAGGTCCCCCTCTGCAAATAACTACAATGCTCATTACTGGCTTAAAAATATGAATGTGACGAAAATTGACGCACATAAGTTTAATGCGTGCCAAAATCTCTCCACCGCCCATATAAGGTCCCCTTCAGAAAATTACTTAGACGATCATTACTGGCCTAAAAATATGAGTTATGAAATACGGTTATAAAATTCGCTCCGAATTTCATGCGGAATGTGTCTGTAATTCACAAAAGGTTTCCTTCAAGAAAGTGTTTTGGTTAATAAAATACAAGTGTTTCTTAAAATACGAGTATAGCGCTGAAATTTTGCGTAAACAAGTTCTATACATAATCTATGTACAAAATTTTATGAGTATCGGTTCATAATTGACGCTCACGGTTTAAGAATTGAAAAAAAATATTTGTTTTTTAAAAGTTAATATTTTGTTAGTTCAAAAGAGCTCGGTCCATAATTGACTTAAGCCATATTCCAAATATCACCCTTTTACGGCATACGGTTTGATGGTGGGTATATGAGATTCGGCACAGCCGAATATAACACTCTTGCTTGTTCAATTTGTTTATTCCCATATTTGCAAAATATTATGTTTATTTTAAATTTATTTCCCATTTTCAATACTCAAATTTACAACTTCGTTTTTTTCTAGTTTTATTTGAATTCCTCAAAAATTAATTGTCAAAAAATTAAAAAAATATATTTTTTGTTTACAAAAAATAAAACTATTTCGGGCTATTTAACGGTGTAAAAATGCGCAAAAAAATTAAAAAATGTATTGTGTGTATTAGAAAATGTGTAAGAAGTGAAATTATCTTCATATTTTCCCGAAAAAGTTTTGAAATATTGTGAGAGAGTCGGATCTTCACCAGTGTGTTGAATTCACACAAAACTCGTCTGTGCGGAGAGGGATATGTTATTGTTGTAAAACAATGTCATAGTCCAGCTTCTTATTATTCTTTGCTACTTGTTATACTTTGGTTTTTAATATACATTAAAAGAAACATTTTATTTAATCAAGGGATGTTTTACTTTTAGGGTCTCCATTTTGGTGTCTTTTTGATATTGTTCCAATTAAGAACGAAAAACGGGAGGTTGTGTTGTTTCTGGCATCACATAAGGATATCACACATACAAAAATGCTGGAAATGAATTCTAATGAGGAATGTGATAGCGGTAAGTATATTTATATTATATAAATATGGGCATTTCCATAAAGATGACAACCATGACAAAAAAAATAAAAAACCTTAAAACTTAAACATTTTTTAATATAATTAAAACTAGTTTTGTAAATAATTTTCTGTTGTACTAAAGACGACGGCAATTGAAAATGGTTTCATATCGATTCAACTATACCCCATACAACCGGACCCTCGAATAAAGTCGTAGAGTCCATAATTATGTTAAATCAACTAGTATTTCTACAAAAATCAGCAGGTCCAAATGGTACTGCCGATTTTCGTAATGATCTGAAGTAATTTGAACTTAGCTCCCTACAAATACTCACTTATGAACCTAGGATAAAATTCGGCGTAAACAAGTTTTATATAAATATAATTCCCACCTCTTTTGGAGCTCATAACTATCGATCAAAACATATTGGTCACAAGTAACATGTTACATATTTATGATATAAAATGAATTATTTTCTTTCTTATAAACAAAAATTACATTCCAATGAAGAACTTGATATCTTAATTTTATAATAGGGGCATTTCAAAAATGTTCGAACAGGTTTTGTACCTTAGCCTTTCCGATTTCGATGAAACTCAAAATTCTACTTTTTTGTTCGAAAATTGTTGGAATTACCCAATAGAAATATCATAATTTTAAAGTGAAAGTAAAATTTGTTTAAAAAATTGCTTGAGAGTAAAAAATATATGCGGCAAAACATATTGGAATCTACACTAGTCCTTATAATAGGTTAAAAATTCTTTACTTTTGATTTTTTTTGTGGGTGTTTTTGGTATCAAAACAAAAAGAATATCTCATATATCCATTGGTATTGGTGACCACTTCCAGCTTTCCACTACAGAGACTCTGTGGGCTTCCAACTAACTTTTCTTGATTTGTCTTCTGTTTTCAATCGATAAAAGGTGGAAAGTCCTTTTAACACTCCCCACACTCCATTTTTTGCAAGTTTAGGGATATACCTGTGAAAAATATATGCTCTTAAAATTTTCGAATGTTTTACATTCATATAACCACATAAAATATGCGCAACAAATCGATGAACAAATTCTTGAATTGGTCTGAAACGTGTAAATATCTTACCCATGAGTCCATAGGACGACCCTGGTTACTACTATGGAATATCTAAGGAAATGTTTCTCTTACAAATTGCGCGGATAAGTATTCTTATATTCGTTATACCATGTTTTTATTATATAACACCCTCCAACAAAAAGAGAAAAAATTCGTTAGACATGAACCGGATGATATATGGAGAATAACTGTATTTTTAGTTTTTTATTTCATGATCCTGTATCCTTTTTAAAGAACTTCAAACTTTTAAAAAGAACATTTTTCAAAAAATATTTTAAAATACTTCTACTGATCAAACAATGCCAAATTTAATGTCAAGAGAACAACCCAGCAAAAAATACTGCTTGCCTGGAAGCAATTTTGTAAGGGAGACTAAATCCGAAATGTACTTGCTTTTTGTTTGAGATGAGCCACTTAAAACAATAGGTTTTGAATCCAAAAAGCGTTTGTTTAATAGCAACTAGTTGCACTTATATCATGTATTTTATATTTTATTAGATCTGTGCTTTATGTATGCGCTTCATTAATGCTCCCATATAAGGCATTATTGAATATATTCTATTTATACGTTACTAAAACCCTTTTAATAATGCTTTTTTAATGTTTTTTATATTCTTTAACTTTTTATTTTAATATAAAATTTCAAAACAAATTTAAAAAATATATTTAAATAAATAAAACACAAAACCTTAAATTAAGATAATATGTAGCATCCCGCGTCTCCCCTGTGATTTCTTCCTCCATATCACTCAGCTCTATTGCTGAAAAATAAGAAAATATTTTGTGTCCATATAAATATAGTAAGTCGGTAAATATGTATATCAAATAGCTGTGTTAAATTCGGCTATTCGGAATAAAGCGGTGTTCAGTTATAATCTGGACGCATAAAACTGTTAATAACTTTTGATTGAAACAACAGAATTAAAAGTTTTATATCAAAAATGAAAGATTATTTATTATTGGTTAAAATTATAACTAAAAGAATTTTAAATTTCTTTATTTCGAATGAAATTTCTTGCATGTTTCTTTATGCTTCGCATTAAATTCTGCACAACTTTCCTTTGAACTAAAGCAGCATATTTATACCAAGCTGTTCTCATGGAATCCTCATTTTTAATAACCTTGGCACTCTTCTTCAATTTAGATTTAACAATAGCCCAAAATTTTTCAATTGGGCGAAGTTGTGGACAATTTGGTGGGTTAAGCCACTTGGGTACAAAATCGATGTTATTATCTTGGTACCACTTTATAGTGGTATTGGAATAGTGACAAGATGCTAGGTCCGGCCAGAACTTAGTCGGCGACTTATGAAACCTAATGAAAGGCAACAGTCGTTTTTGTAAACATTCCTTTGTATAAATTTCTGACGTCATTGAAGAGGATGTGACAAAAGCCTTGCTCTTCAACCCGCAGCTGCAAATTGCTTGCCAAATCAGGAACTTTTTACCAAATTTATCCATTTTCGTGTATTTAAATTTGTCGGCTACATTTCCACGCCTGGATGAAACATAAAATTTTTGGCCTGGTATTTGCTTAAAATCGGCTTTTACATATGTTTCATCGTCCATTACGATGCAACCGCTAAATTTGGTTAATATATTACTGTATAATAATCTGGTACGTTTTTTTGCTACTGATTCTTGCTTTTCTGTTCTGTTTGGGTATTTAATAGTTCGATATGCTTTTAATCTAGCATTTACGCGAATTCTTCGTATAGTACTTCTGCTGGTTTTAAATTTTTTAGCACGATCAGCGTCAGATAATCCAGGATTATTTTTAATTGACCTTAGTACTCTAGTCTCCAATTTTTTGTTCCTTATACCTGCCTTTTTTACATTTTTCTTTTTTCTTTCTATAGTCAAGGTTTCCTCATATCTTTTTAATACACTACACACCGTACTTTTTGCAATTTTAAGCGATTTTGCTAACTTAGAACGAGACCAAGTCGGATTTTCATTAAATTTGTGCAGAATTTTTTTACGAGTTTCAAGTTCCATCGCGTGTATTTTCTTTAAGCCTCAACAGAATCGAATGAAATTTTTGACATATAACGGTACATCTGTGGTGAATAACATACTTCAAAAGCTTTCTACTTCTGCCACCAGAGGCGCTGCAATTCAAAGTACAGTGCGTCCAGATTATAACTGAACAGTGCTTTATTGTATACACCTCACCCTAGTATATTTTCAAAATTTATTACAAAATACAATACGTACCTTTTGTTTTACAGTTAGATATTATTTATTGGTGTACACTTTTTTTACTCTTCACAAGACTTTTTACGTTAGCACTACTCGCTTTAAGATCAAATACTGTCAGGATAAAAATATATCAAAAATGTCTTTTAAAATTTTTATTCTTTAATATTTATTAAAGTTTTCAATATTATTTTTTCAAAAAAAATTTTAAGGACATTTTTAACATGGCAGAATAAAATAAAAATAACACAAAATATTTTACAACTCTTCTTGTTCTCTTGACATCAAATTTAGCATTGTTTTGATCGTTAAAGTATTTTTAAATATTTTTTTAAAAATGTACTTTTTAAAACTTTGAAGTCCTTTAAAAGGACACAGGATCACGAAATGAAAAACTAAAAACGCAGTTTTTCTCCATTTAATTTATAGTTTCAGACGTATAGATTTTAATCTAATTGCATCTATTGGAGTCCAATTTGTTACAGAGAAATTTCTGATTCCTTAGATATTTCAACATGACATTGGTCATAGTAGAACCCTAAACTTAAAAGTAGTTTCCATGGAGAGAGTTAACAATTCCCTGGCCTTTAATCGATGGAAATCTTATGAGAAATCGTAAAACAGAAGATAAATAAAGAATAGTTGGTCGGAAACCCACAGAGATTCTTTAGTGGAACGCTTTTATTCGTTTTTTTGTACTGTGCGGTTTGTTCGACAAATAATTATTGAAGGTTTTATGTTAGCCGAAACTGGATGTTTTTTTAATATTTTTTTACAAGATTTTTCTTTTGATAACAAGAAAAATAATAATTCACTCGTTGAGTTCAACTCTATGACGGTTTTTTAAATTTTTATACTCTACACCACTATAGTATTATGCGTTTGTGTTGATGTTTGTATCGTCAAAAAATATTGGTCCTACACCCACCTTAATGTATACAAATCGAATCAGAATCACTTCTGTCGATTTCGCTATGCCTGTGTGTCCATGTCAACCTTTTGCGCACGCTACAAGTCGCAATTTTCAAGATAATTTGATAGTTAAAATCGGTCCATTATTTCGCCTAGCACCCGTATCCCCTGAATAGGGCTTATTATTATCTACATCACTTCCAACAGTAATTCAGAAAAGCGCAATTGTAAATGAGACTTTTCATTTGAAATTCAGAAAAGAACAGTTGAAAATGGGATTTTTCATTTGAAATTTATAAAAGAACAGTTGAAAATGAGAATTTTCATTCATAATTCAGAAAATATCAAGTTAAATATTTCATTTGAAATTCAGAAAAAAACAGTTTAAAATAAGATATTTTATTTGAAATTCAGAAAAAATCAATAGAAAGGGATATGAAAATTCCCATTTTCAATTGTTCTTTCAAATGGAAAATCTCAATTTCAATTGATATTTTCTCTATTTAAAAGGAAAATTCTCATTTTCAAGTGTTCTTTTCTAATTTTCAAATGAAAAATCCCATTTTCAAATCTTCTCTTCTGAATTTCAAATGGAAAATCCAGAGACTGTAATTGTTATTATTTTAATTTAAAAAAATTAAATTTAAAAATTTTATTTGATTTGTCAAATACAAATTGCTTTTGATTTGCACTTTTTATATTTTCGGTAAAAACTACTGAGAACTTTTTTAAATAAAAATCTGTAATAAAAAACACAAATAATTTGTAAACCATAAGACTCAAATAAAAATCAGGCAA